GGACCCGGTTCTCCAAAATAATGATCACTTTACATCATTACTTATTTGAAATAAAACATTTTAGATTACTCATTTTCTTGAGTAAATGATTCTCATTTGTGACAAACAACAGATTATCTATATAATTGTCCTTTTTGTGCAGGCTTATACTTAAAATCTTGTTCCCTTACATTGTGTTAACAAAGAAAAGAAAGGAAAAAACAAAGTGCTGTTCTTTTTTTTTCCCTCTCCTTGTTTTCTTCTAGGATGGAGGTTGTTATGGAGATCTATTTTGTAAAGCATTGAAAACATACAATATGCTTTGCTTTGGAATTTATCGATTAAGGGATGCACATCTAAGTACTCCCAGCCAATGCACTAAACGGTAAGTCCAGTCTTTCAGAACATTTCTGCTTTTCAGTCTTCAGGTGAGGAAGATCCCAGTGCCTGTAATAAATCTAAAAAAGAGCTTTCTCTATTTTTTACATAACTTTGCCACAAAAGCTAACTCTTTGGGGGCTTAATGATGACTCTTTAGCTGAGCTTAAGAGTGCAGGTTAAGCTTAAGCCAGCGTTAGGCCGGCTATCATAGCATATGTTTTCAGCTAATTTTAACAAAAAATTTTTAAAGTAGATTTCCAGAACATATCTCTGTCTTGTTTGATTTATGATGATCCATTGCTGAAAGGAAAGGAAAGGAAAGGAAAGGAAAGGAAAGGACTTCAGTTTGCTTATATAATAAGCTGTAAATTACTGGATAATAGTTTAGATTATAGTAGCTAGACTTTCTTTTTTCTGAATGCTCAAAACATACTCCCATGGGCTTTCCCTTGGTGCTATCTGTATCTGATCATCGTTTCTTCCAGTAAATGGAAACCCTTCTCTAGCTAGGCTGTATTTTTACTTCAGTAGCACCAAGGCTGACCTCAGTGCTGTTAATAGAGCAGACACATTTGCATCTTTCAAACTGGTGGCTATTTAGCAGCTTACTTGAAATGTGTCTTAATTAAGTGCCCACTAGAAATACACACACAGACTCATCCCAGAACAATTGCAAATCACAAAACATCTGTTACTGTTTCATTCTCTACAAAAACCGTCATTACTGGGTGAAAATGGCAATAAACAACCCTGCAGCCTACCAAAGCGGTTTCTCCTGTAAGTATTTGGACAAAATGGGTAGAAAAAAGTATTTTCAGGTTAGATTTACACTGTACTTGCTATATTTGGGATTATTTGTTGGATTAATAAGTGACTTCTGTCCCTGAGGCAGCTAAGCAGATTTCTTACCGGCACTGAATTAATTTGAAGAGAAGTTGTGAGCTTTGTGACCAATTTTACTCATTTCTTACTGGGATAGAAAATGCCCATTGGCTTGCTCAAATATGTTTTTCACATGCATGAAAAAAAGTTAGCAGCAGGGTTTATAAGCCCTTCCTACCCTGAAAGTGTGTTAGTTGGAGGTGGGAATTCGTGAAATGGATAGTTTTTATTTCAGGCTTGGAATGTATTCTTAGCAATGCTGGATTCTTGGATGTGCAGATTTCTCTTTATAAGTACTTTTTGAGGCCATGAATGTACATGTGGAATGAATGAACAAAATTAACCTTACCGCAAATTTGCTGATATATTTTACTTAATTTGTTTTATGTACAGTCACAATCCAAACAAATAATTATATCCCTTGCTCTACTGTAAGTGTTTAAGTATTTATTAAATATCTAGTAAATATGTATTTAAATATAACTGCGTCCCTGCTTTTCAGCCATTCTTTTAAATACCATTGCTGGTAGGTATGTAACTGGTTTTTGTCAATATGTAAATCTGGGTGCTAGTCATTGCATTATGGCGCAACTAGTGAAAGGAGGGCGATTTGTACAGTGTCTTCTCTGAAAAATCATGACATTATTCACTTGAAGAACATCATACTCAGACAGTATGTCTGTGGAATAGAAAACATACAAAAAGAGATATCTGACATAAGAAGGTCCTAAATCATAATGGGTATTATGTGAACTGAAATTAAGTACACACTGAAGGAAACAGAAATGCAAAAATCGGGGCAAACGTTCATGAGATAACTCTAGAAAAAAATTTTTAGTACAAATCTAAATATGTTTTCTCTTTCTTTCTTTCTTTCTTTCTTTCTTTCTTTTTTCTTTCTTTTTTTCTTTCTTCCTTTCTTTACAGTTACGTTATCACAAACCCACCGTATGAATTTGAGCTTGTGCCGACAGACTTGATCTTCTGTTTGATGCAATTTGACCACAACGCTGGCCAATCTCGGGCCAGTCTTTCTCATTCCTCCCATTCCTCCTATTCTTCCAGCAAGAAGAGCTCATCAGTTCACTCCATCCCATCAACAGCAAACCGACCGAATCGCACCAAGACCAGGGATTCACGGGAAAAACAGAAGTACGTGCAGGAAGATAGACTTTGATACGTGTACCTGCTCCCACTGTGTGTGAAACTTGCATTCACCACCCATTCTCCCCAGTTAATGTTTCCAGCAGTGATGTTCCCCATTTTCCCATGGAGTTCTCCCCTTTTTGTACACATATTTTGCATATGTATGACAGTGTGCATGTGATTGTCATTTTTATTTCACCACCATAAAACCCTTAAGCACAACAGCAACAAAGCAGACGGACCAAAAGTTATTTATGATGCTAGGGGAGAAAAAAAATTCTAAACCCATAGGCACACTGAAAACATAAATAACTCACTGCAGTTACTCTACATATCTGAAAATAGAGTGTATTTAACATGAACACTTGCTCTTGATGTCAGAGTCACACAAAGAAAGTAATTTAGTGCAGAAGTATTGATGTATGTTTCAGTAGGTTTTTTTATATTCGTATTTACAAGAGTTGCTACATTTATTTGAAGCTTATAAAACTAACCCATTGAGGGGAAAAAAAAAATCCCTCCTGATTTTTCACTCTTAAAGCTTATATTATATAGGGCTTACACTCATTGTATAGATTATTGTTACACACTTGCTTTATACCAAAGCAACATCAGGGACTTTACCTGCTTGTTTAAGGATTTTCTCTAAAATAGTAGCCTTTTGGAGATAGTGTCTTTTCCCTTTAACATTGAAATTGGTGGGGCATGGAGTTGTAAAACTCCAGTGGTTTAATTTAAGTTTAGAAAGCATCTAATTGCATATTAAATTATTATTCTGTCTATTTATACTGCCACATGAATAGCTATATTTTCTTTCACTTTTGACATTTGGGATAAAAAGCCATATGTATCATAAATATTGGATGTAAGTCATTAAAACTTCCTGGGACTTTTACGTCTTTAAAAGGTGAATTAGTCACCTTATGTACAGAATAAATAATGTTCAGAAAAGAGCAAGCATTTTTCTATGCTTAAGTATCAGTTCTCAAGGGACTTTGTTCCTTTCCCCAGATGGTAGTTTAACTTTTCCAGGATAGAATAGTGGTATAAATCTTACAACAAGAGTCCTAATATGTGAAGAACCTCTAGAAATCCTGCTCCATGTTCTACCTGGTTCTTTGCAACTTGTGCATGCCAATATGGAGGAAGACAGGGGAAAACAACTGAGTGCCTTTAAGGTCTTTCCCATTTGGGAAGAAAAATTGCTGTGCCCTAGACAGCTAATGAGCAAAGCAAGAGGGTTGGTGTGGTAATACTGTGCTGAGGCATCATGTTCTAGACACTTGCCAGAATTTGGTTCTCAGCAATGACACATCTAGCCATACAAAAATTGTGGCAGGGAATTAAATAAAGTAGTGAAAAGGAACCTATTCTAGCTAATCATAGAAATGATACTTCAAGCTTGTTTATGAATTTCAAATGCCAACCTTCTGAAACATAGAACTAGGTCTAGCTTGTATGAAGAGTTTTCCCAGGGTAAGGAGGCCAGAAACACATACCACCTTCCCTGGCTACCCAGCAAGAAAGCATGCAGACAGGGAATAAATACTTGGAAGTGGGAATGATTAGTATTTTAACTGCCAACCCAGACAAGGTGCTTTTATGGTTAGTGTTGTTTTCTACCCTTCCCTTCCTAAGCATGATAATTCTGAAGATTTGCTTGCTGTGTGAATTGACAATGAAGCCAAGCACTTTTACTGACAAAACCTGGAACCATATTAAGTGGGCTGCAGAGAGTACCACTGTGCAGTGTTAAGCATAATGATTGGAATACGGTATATATGTGCATGTGCATTCAAATGCAGCTGTATGTCCTATCAGTGAACTACATTGCAAATTATGGATGATCCCCTACAAATGAGTCTATTACAGTTGCTCTTCATCCTAAAGACAAATTCATGTGTTTCTTTTCTCAAAGAAAGTTATCATGTTTTGCCCTAAGAATATTTATTACTACAAGGATGTGCCAGTTAAAGTGCTCAACAGGAAATATGACAGTTTAAAAGCATTGTAAAACTTACATAGCTTACTTCTTTTTCTAAAGTGCAACAAGGATGAATAGAATGGGCCAAGGTATGACAATTAATGGTTCTGCATGACCTAGCAACTGCTGTGGGTTTTCTTCTATAACTTTGTCCTTGTGAAAACTTGTGAAATTAAAAAAAAAAATAGTTACAAACTTTATTCAGTTATTGGTTGGTTTGTTTGTTTGTTTGTTTTGTTGGTTTTCTTTTGCCCTTTTTTTCCCTCCAAACCAGAAGTAAAACTGGCTGCTGCTGCTGCTGCTGCTGTTGCTCAATCCTGTTTTATTTTTTTATCCTCTCATCTGCTTGCCTTTCTAATTGCACGTGTCCTTTTGTGAACACACAGGTTCCTGCTCAATGAAGATGCCTACCCTCGCACAGACATTACTTTTATTTCCCATTCCTCATTCCAATTCCTTTCCTCCCTTCCCTCTTTACTCCCCTGTCCCCTGTGTATGTTCATGAGCATCTTTTTATGTTGGCAATACTGACTGAAGATAGTCAAGAGCAGTTACGCATTTTTGAACAATGTTAATGTCTTTGACACCAAAATGCTTTTCCATTAATGTTTTATCTGTTTTCAATTTAGCAGAAGGAGGAAGGGTGTTAATATGAACCCACTTGTCACACACTATGTAATGATTTTATCCAAATAAATAGTATTTCTATAACTGTGTAGCTCAAACAGAAAAAAAAAAATACGAACAGTGTACATTAGAGAAGCAACTTGTCTACTTTGTAAGCAACAGAAGGGCAATATCTAATATGGATGCAAATTTTAATTCTTAAAATGATGGTAAATTCTGATTCTCCTGTCTTCTGTCCTAAAGTCAGAATTCTTAGTTTTGACTTTTAGTTACACAATGTGTAATTTCATTGCTAACTACATCGAACTGATCAAATAGTTTATTACAGCGATGAAGATTTTCTGACATGGATATACTAATGAAATTGGGAGGTTGGACGTTACAAGTAGAGGAATCAACTATTTTATAAGGAATCAACTAAATCAACTATGTTATGTTGTCAATTTTTTAATATTGAAAAGTAACAGGAAATCTCCAATTTGTTCAGAAACCTATCCCAAGTCAAACATTCTTAGTAACTACCCTTGTTAGTTTTCAAAAGTGTAAAAGCAGCACCAATGGCTAGAGATGATATTTTAGAGGTTTGAAAGGAGGTCCTGCTACCTATATCAGTACCGGCATGGTTTTGACAATGGAAACTAGGTTCCTGGAAACTTTGTTGATCTGAGTGTTCACACAAAACTATATCTAGCAAACCTGTAGGTTCTTCGCATGGGTTGCCACTGGCTTAAACTGGCAGAATCAGGCATTTTCCAGTGAAATTCCCATTATTAAAAGTAAGAATTTTGCTAGTCTGGAAAATTAAAAAAAAAAAAAGTCACCAAGAGCAAGTCAAAAATAGCATTTTTGTCCCCAAAATTTAGCTGCCTTGGAGCAAAATAAAGACCACAGAAAGTTAGGTTAGTTTCTTCTCTCTTTCTTTCTCTGCAAATTACTTACTGCCTGCTACACATAAAATACACATCTGGCAAACAAAGAATTGCTGAGCGGGTGGTGGAGAAACTTTCATTACTTTTTTCTCATACGGGAAGAAATTACATGGGAGAATTTTCAGTTTAGCTATAAACAAGCTACGTATGTGGAGAAGGGGAGGCACACAAATACATATAGACTCATTTGAAACTGCAAGTGTCACAAAAGAAAAAAAATGCATGTTTAAAAGAATTGTAAGGCAAATGGGGATTATGGTGAGAATACACATTTAGTAAAATCCTTGTGTCATGTTTAGTTAGTACTTTTTTTACCCCTGCTCAGAAGAGAGGGTGTTTCACAGTGACATGTGTTCAAATACGATTACTTGGTCCAGAATTGACAGCAATTTTAAAGCATCAAAACAATAGATCTGTTGGAAAGAATTGCTAGTCTTATGCAAGTTGAGTAAGTCTATATTTAATTTATTTGTATCTTTTTATGCTGCAGGGAACAGGCTTACACAAGATGCCAATTTTTATTTATGTGTAATAAGAGCTTGAAGCCTTTAGCACCTTCATGGCCACACTGGGATGCTGATAGGTTATTGCAAACACAGGTGTTTGAGAGGAAAGTAAATGTTTTCTGCTTTCTGATACATGAAGTTACTTAGCTGTTCCAACATCTTTCTGATGATACCGTGGAAACCAAACCCACCAGATAGCATAGGAAGATCAAGGACTTTCTTGAACAACTCTTTTAATAAAATAAAATAGAAACCTATGCCTATTCTCACTGTAATATAGAAACGTATCTGGTAAGGATCCATATGCATATGCCAAAAGGCAGAGAAACAGGCTGAATGTGACAAAGAACAAAAAAAGTTGGTGAATATAACAATATTTAAAGACTTGAAAAAGGGTTTTCTGGTCTGATTTGAAGGAAAGAGTAGGTAGTTTGTTTAAGATATGTAAAAATCTATGCAAAGACTTTGGAAGACATCAAAGTCAGACTGGGAGCATAAGAAAAAAGGCTGAAAAGTGTGTAGGCATTCAAGGAAGACATTTAGTAAATGGCAGGAGAATATCTTAGTGACCAAGAGTAAAGATGAGGAGTGTCAAACTCACATTTCAAAGGTAAGTAAGTGTAGAGGTCAATGACCTTTCACAGGAGATTCATCATAATGCAGTCAAAGACAAGCAGAAAACAGCAGAAAAGGAACAGGAAAGGTATAAAGCTGGGTCCAAGCATTTGATTCTGGAGATGCTAATACCTGGATCAAGGTTTCAGCATTGTTGAAAAGCAAAAAAACCACCCCAAAAAAACCCTCCAACCCAAAACAAAACAAAACAAAAAACAACCACCCCCCCCCCCCCCCCCCAAAAAAAAAAAACAACTCAACCAGCAAAAGAAATTAGAATCTACCAGTTTCTGTGTTTATTATTTGTCTGTGTTACTTGCCAGGCAAAGATATAAAGAGACCTAATGGTGTCTTTTTAAAGATCAGCTCCCTGGATATGAATTTCATAGTGAAGATTAACATATACATAATTGCCTTGTTTTGAAAATTCCAGGGAAAACAGGGAAGAACAAAGTGCTTTTACACTGGCTGCTGAGAAACACAGGGCAGTTCTGATCCTTAACACTCACACAGTTCTCCCTTTCTTGTTATGAGATTGAATTACACCAAGTTCTGTTTGTGAGGAAAGTTTGTGCACCATATGTTAAAAGAAAAAAGGTAGAGATAAAAGTTCACAGTGCTTAACTTGCCTCAAAATCATTTTAAACACAAACCATTAGAAAACTGTTAGTTTGAAATTGTTTATGTGATCTTGCAAGGCTTTTAAAACATGATAACCATCACACTTTACACCTCTCTGAAAGGTTAGTTTAATCGTAGATCACATAAAATTGGTTTCCACAAATGCATAATGGTTCATGTGTCACACTTGAACTAAATGGTTTTTTAAATGGAGCTGAAATTATTTTGATGTGTACATATTCCTAGATTATTTTTTTCCCCTACAACCTTTCTTAAACCGGCCCTGATCAGGAACCATTCCCTTAAAGTCTCATTAATAATTCAGAGGTCCTGATTACTTTAAAAGATCTATGGAATTGAGGCGACTTTTTTTTTACTTTTTTTTTTTTTTTTTTTTATTTAAACTGCTTGACAAAAAGATAAATGAATGTAGAAAGAAGCAGTAGGAGTCTGGCAAGCTGTAGATCATCTCTGAACAGATTGTAACTTTATCATTCTGTCAGGAAGAATAATTTAAAGCACTTAATCAGTTAGCTTCAGTGTGCAGGATGTAACATTATGAATTCCTATCGTCCAATCTGTTCACATCAAGGGAACTTAATTATAATAGGTAAAGGAGAAAGAGAGAGAGAGAGAAATGGGAGGCTGAACATAGTTCAGACTCAGGCAACTTTAAGGGAGCAGGGAACTATTTACCCTGATCATAAATGAGTAGGATGTTTTAAGAAGAATTAAAATATACAGTAGCTTTCTTTACCTTCAGTAATAAGCCACTAACTAGTAATCAGTACAATTACTTTTTTTCAATTAATTTTTTTTTAAAAAATATAAGCACAAGTAACAAATATATATTAAACAAACAAAAAAAAAAGATGGATTAAACACCCATGAGTTTGGGATTTGTTGTTGGGAAGTGAGGGTGTTACGTGTAGATGCTTAAAATCCATATCAGGTATAAATAAGTGGTTAAATTTCATATGCACAAAAATTACTGAGAAGTTCAGGAATTCTGCAAATCAATACACTTGTTTAGAGGCCCTAACTTCGAAGCTAGGTGCTTATTTTTGTGCAATTATGCTGGGATATTTGTCCTTTATTCTTCCTGGTTTTTCAGTTTCTATTCTCAGCTTTACCTCCTGAGCTTTTGTGCTTGATCCTTGGGTTTCCAAGGTAGATTTTGCTCTGCTTATTTTTACTCACTTATTTATTTAAAAAAAAGCACTCCTTCTACTCCTGCCCGGATTCTAGCCCAGACATGGCAGCATTTCAGGGGTCAGCAAAAGTGTCAGGTTTTATTATGTGAGACACTGAAGCTTATAAAGCATTTCAGATTTCCCATTGGAATGAGAAGTAGTGCATACATGTAAGAGCAGCAGCTCTGATATGGTAAGCTTTGCATGTGATAATGAAAATGCCCCAGCTGTAGAATCCCACCTGCAGCACCATTTGTGCCCACTGCTCTGCATGCTTGCCTCTGGAATATGGGGAAGGAGAGTGAGAATGGAGCCCCCTGTTCACAAATGCTTGTCAAAGCACAGCACCTAATGACCATAAGCCACCCTAAGACCAGGACTTTCTAACTCTTTTCAATAGTGCTATCTTGTTAAGTAGCACAACTATAATTAAGAAATGACAGCAGAAATTGCTCTTTAAAGGGTTTAAGAAAATTATTTTAATTCTTTTTTCTTTTGTGAATTTTTTGATGTTTTTGTCCACATCTGCATATGAACAACACAATATAGCGGTCACAATGGTAAGCAGATAGGAAATAGCTGCAGTGCCACAGCCTCTCAGCATCCTCTCTCGTTCCCACTTTGCTCGCAGCCCATCTTAAATCAGTACCATAAAATTCTTCCTATGTTCACGGAAAAAGACACTGCCCAAAGATATAAAAGGAACAGCTCCCTCTCTAATCTCCCTTTAAGACCTTACTTTCTTTGCCTTGATGTCACATATTGTAACCAATCCATTCAGGATTACTCTTGAGCCCCTCATCTATAACATCAGGTGTGTTTCATACCACTTCCCAAACAGATTTCAGCAGTACCCCAGCAGCCAGGTTACTAAGTTGCAATATGATGGCCATCCCATGCAGGAAGGCTGCCATTGGGCAGCATGAATGAAAGCCCTATTTATTCTAGGACCAACTTTCACAGGAGATTCTTTCCATTCTACTGAATGATTTCTGAGCCAGGGGTAGCAATCACCCCAAGGCTGAAACAGTTCAGCGTAGCCTCTGATTCTTTAGGTGTTCCTCTGCATGTGGACCCACATGCTTTTTTCTGCATTGCCCTTATCCCATCTGCTCTCCCTGGCTTCTCAGTTTAGGCCTTTATTTGTATCATTTTTTCAATAGATAAAGGGTGTTCACCTGAGCATAAAAAAAGAAGCTCTCTTACATTCAACAAACAATCATATGGAAGTTTTCTTTAGCTTCTACTATTGAATCTGCAAACATGTCATCATTTCATAAAAAGTATTTGCAGGGGTATTAATCTAATGCACTGTACTGCTAGTAATTAGTCACAGTCACCTTCTATTGATCGCCTTTTCTCTATAAACTTTACTGACTGCTCCCCTCTCCTTTTTTTTTTTTTTTCAAATGTTTATGTGTTTATGTGCTTCACTAATTAAAACTCTCATTTTCCCTCCTTATTCTGTCTCTACCCATTTTGCTCCTTAGCAGAAAAGAAATGGTTTACAGATGAACCGGATAATGCCTATCCCAGAAACATTCAAATCAAGCCCATGAGCACTCACATGGCCAATCAGATCAATCAATATAAATCGACAAGCAGCTTGATACCACCCATCAGAGAAGTTGAAGATGAATGTTGACTCCTTCGAGGCCAGAACTATTTTTTTAAAGCCTGACAAACTTCATGAATGGTGATGTGACATTTATTCCTCTTATATGCTGAACAACTGATGGAGAAGTTAAGAAGGGCAAGCTTAATGGGAAAATAAAAAGTAGACAGATGATTGTCTGCCTTTAATATTGCTTCCACGTATTTTGGAAACTGTTTCATTTATAAATGAACATAATCAAAACTAGTCATGTATAGCCTCTAGCATTTTAAATTATTTTTATTTATTAGAAAAAAATATATTTTTCTTTTTTTTCTTCATCATCAAGTATATTCCCTTATAAAAACCTGCGTGTGTGGCCAGACTCCTAAGAATTTAAAAAAAACAAACCTCAGTCTTTGGCTTAAAGGAGAATGATGGTCACAGTTATAAGGACATGTAATTAAGGGAGACAAATGATATATTTGCAAGAAGAAAAAAAAAAGGTCCAACTTGTATTTTAGTAAAGCAAAAAAAAAAAAAAAAAGAAGAAAAAAAAAACAGTTCACCAAAATGTTTCTTTACTGGAGGATGTGTATTTTGTTCAGCATTGACACCAGCTCTTAATAAACTGAACTTATTTATTTTCAAACTTGAAAGTCATATTTTTGTACATGTAACATTCTGAAATATTCTTTTTTTTGTTTTATTACCATATACAGCTTATCTTAATTGCCAGTTATGTTAAGGTCAAATAAATAACCCCACACTGACATACTGCACCCTGCTCCCACACTATGTGCCCACATACACAGGCAGAAGCCCAGCATCCTCAATAACTTCCTGCGACACTACCTTAGTGAACATTACTACTCTAAACTGAGTGCCATGTAGATCATGTGTTCATAGGCAGCACTTTCTATAAATGGCAAATCTGGCAATTCCACTCCACTTCCCATTAGCCATCAGCAGTTGCTAATTTCCAAAAGTCAGGTTTGGCAATTCCTCTTCTTTTGCCATGCATTACAGTGCTTTAAACCAGAGTGCATAAATAGTGCATGAAATCATAAGTTATAAACCTTCACATCTACTATATTTTGTCCTTACTTCAGAAGTGCTGATAGTCTTGCGTCAGTCTTCTTTATTTATTTGGTTCAAATTCTTCCTATGTATAAAGGTTTACCTCCAGATCTTTGCACTTTGGTGATAGCTCATACCTTGGTAAAAGGCACGCTGAATCTCCTTTCGATGAGTTCATCTGAGGATGAAAAATTGGTTTAGCCTCAGGTCTGTAATCTCACAACATGCTGTTCTCAGTTAATTCCTCAACCAAGTAACATCATACTTTAGAATTTGGTTTTTGGGGGTTTTTTGGTTGGGGTTTTTTTTTTTGTTGTTTGTTTGTTTTTGTTTGGGTTTGGGGTTTGGGGATTTTTATTATTTTTTTTTTTTTAGTTCATTTTTTCCTTTGCTGGGACACCAACATAAAGTACAGTAATAACCAAATCAAAATGAAGTTAATGAATGTATTATGATAATCTACAAAAGGCCTTTGATGGGTGCCTTTTGTGTCAGCAGTTTCACAAAGTTGCCAACAAGCTTTATTGCCATCAGACAAAAATATGATGTTTCATATCTATGCTGCAGTATCTATCCACCCAAGCATTTGCTGTTTTAAATGATTTAGTAACTCTTTCTGTCTCAAATTAGCAACAATCTAACACAATTGTGTGACCAAAAAAAAAAAGCACCAAAACAAACAAAAAAAAAAAAGGCTGTGCTAATAAAGATTAAACCAAAACCACAGTCATCAGGAAAGAGAGATTTTCATTGTGCAAGTTAACTTTAGGCTTTGTGATTTTGCAGAATTGTTAAACACCACAATAAAACATACTATCATTAGAGAAATATCAGTGAATCGAAGAAATACAAAGCAGATGATTAATTTGTTGTGAAAACAATGATGTCCACTATATAATCCAACATTTAGGCTAAACTAACTCAGCTTTAATGTTTGTCCACTGGCTGCAGTACAAATATAACCATACTAACACCTAATAGACTTTATTCTGGAGTGACTTCTTGGACTGTGACTACTTTGTTGTTACATTTTGTAGAATAGTTATTTAAAGACAATACAGGAATTGTTAATACAGTAGCTGTTAAATTGGATTGTTTAAAATATTTCACTCTCCTACAAAGTAACAAAATAATTTAATTAGGTTTTCATTATTATTTATACCATGTTTAACCCATTTCACAGTCCTCAAAACAGAAGATTATTCTGGTCAGTTCTTCTGATCTATGCTGCTTCAGCTAGTGACACATTATAATCTATATCAAGCCTCTGTGTTGGGTCATGTTAAGCCTTTAGTTTGAAGTCAGTGCTCCTTTTTCATTTATGAACTGCATTCATATTATAATCAGAGTGAAAAAAGCTGGTCCTGAGTACAGGAGAGTGTTCGAACTTTGTGTTCAACTTCACCAAGTACATGCGAAGTTTTTATTTTTTTTTTCTTAGAAGACCAGTCTTTTACTGTAGGGATATAAAACGTTACATCTATCTTATACTTCATCATATACAGTGCCATTTCTGAGTGTCCTTCCTTCAGAAGTGAGCATTCACTGGATAAAACATACTAATGAAGCAAATATAACACCCCTACTTAGCTAAGGTTTGTGTGTGTCTGTCCAGTTTAACTGTCCCACTCAAAAATATCATGCTGTCAATTGTACTTAAGTAAAGGACAAGATCTGCATACATTCATGCTCTCTCCCAGCACAGATGGTTCCGTTTGTAATGATAGAAAGACAGAACACAGCCTGTAGAGAGCATGCAAGGCAGAGATAAACAGGTATAGTTTGCATTTCCCATTTCTAGAAAAGCTAAGAGCAATCAATAATCTTTTCTTACTCCTCTTTTTGATGATCAGAGACAGAGGATCGACTTCTGGCAAGTAGATGGAGGATCATGGAGAAAACCTGCTGGAGATCTTTGACGTTTAGCCATTAAAGACTAAAATAGGGCCAGCACCAGTATTTGGATTTTGGATATATCTGAAGTTACACCAGGGCAAGTAGCTGTGAAAGTGGCATAAGCAGCAGCTGGCAGACCATGTGACAACTGATGTAGAATAATTTTTTTATATTTATTGATAATTCTTATTCCTTTCTCAAAAAACAAGGCAGAGGGCGGGGATTTCAGCTTTTTCATTAATTGTATCACAATTATTACAGGCTAAGAAATTATTTTTTATTGGCAACTCATGCATTGGATTAAATGTGTGTCTGTATTTGCATATATGCAACTCTACACATACACACATATACATATGTGTGGATGTAAACATGCTTATATATGGGTGGGGTATGTATTTGGTGCAGAGTCATCACAAGAAGGCGGCCGTTATTTTTTTCAGGGTAGGGGGTGGGTGAAGAAAGACACGAAGAAAAAGAAAATGTGTGACTGACTGACTGACTTACAGGCTACCATAGGGAGGAATTGTACCTACTGTTTCCTTCTGGTTTGACCAAAAAGCAGCCATTCCTGTTACTTAAAATAGTGGTGCACTGAGAGTACACTACAGAGCCCTCTCTCACTGCTGAAGCAGCTGTGTGCTCCTGGCCTCCTCCTCACACCCATGAACATGCGTGCTCCCACATTGCCAAAAAGCTTTCTGTCTTTTTGTCTCATGGCTATTATTTTAATTTGTTTCCTGAAGCCCATGAGCATTAAGATAAAAGGACAAAACTGTCCTCCAATGGGATGTTGTTTGCTTGGCAAGCGCCCAACACAGCAAAAGTTAAGGTGTAAATTGTTATTCTACCTGTAACTCAAAGGAACCTTTTAAGCCCTACTGCTCAAAGTCAGGAACATAGGGATAGAGAAAGCAGGGGGGTGAGAGCGACACAACACAGCCAGGCCCTCAAGCAAATGTAAGCACGTAGCTATTTCCAGTTCATCTTTGGTGGGAAACCCAGTTCTGCTTACACAAGGTGAAGGCCATGAGCTTCAGGATAATGAGGAATCCAGGTAGCCTTATTAAGCCGCACAGATGTCTTGAAAGAGCTGATGAGTCTTCAGCATCTTACAGGCTGTACAAGCAGCCAGGTTTAGCCATACTAAAGATATTTTGTTCTCCTACTTTTGAATTCTATAGAAAAAGACCACTCGATGGCTCAGACAGCATGGGTTTGAAAAGACTTAATTGGACTCAGCCAAATGTGGAAAGGGGGAAAAATAGTTTGCATACAATGTCCAAGAGACACTACAAAAGTATTGTCTATAGCCTTTTATTATAGGTTGTTGGGTGGTGGTGGGAAAAGTTGTTGTTTTTGTTGGAGGTTTTTGCCAGTGTAAGTAAGTTTGCATTTCTTGACCTCTTAGAGTAGAAGGAGAAAGTATAGTAGTGTGTTCTCATTCACAGAGGGCTGGTTTTATTGGGGTTTCTGTGTGTGTAAACTACATCTAACACTTACTGCAATAACTGGATGCATAAAGTAATGCGTGACAATAAAAGCAATAATTTACAAATGGGTAATTATGCATCTTTTCACTGCTTGGTCATTCATTGGTGAATCCATAAACATGTTAGCAACTGCCCTGTTCTAGATTCACATGGGCTCAAGTTAAACACAGAGTAGGAGCTTAAATGGTTTTATCAAGAAACAGGTTTGTAAAGAGTTCTGGATTACAGTGTGTTTGAAATGAACGCGTATTGAGGCCAGGGTGTGTGTGAGTGTTTGGTATTTTGTTTGTGAGTTTCTCTAGCACCAAAAGAAGTGCGTGTCTCACCTTTCATTTCTAGTTTTAAATATGCTTAAACAAAATACCCAAGTGTATGAAAGGCGATGAACAGGACAAAGTGAAAACAGAAATCCTTTCTCTGTGTTACAGTGGATTGGCCTGGGAATATCTGTCAAAGTCAATGGCAGATGCATAGAAAAATTCAGGGGAAAGGAAAGTTCTTTGTATTCCTTCTTTTGTTTTCCTCTCCCTGCCATCTGAACCACCAATATCCCCAACATATGAAGAAGCACTTTTTAAACTTCAATTTTATTTTTTTTTAATTCTAAGGATGTTTGAAAAATCCTAGTCTTAGGGGATATAGTTTTTGTGGTTTGCTTTGGTTTGGGGTTTTTTTTTGTTTTTTTTGGTTTTTGGTTTTTTTTTTATTTCTTATATATACATAGCAGATTTTCTAATATTCAGTTTAGCAAGCATAATATTTGTAGTACTTTTGTATTAAGCAATACTAGTAGGTGTGGGTACAGCCCCCTTCTGAAATAATAATCAAAAGAATGGAGTAGATGTTTTGGCTGTGGCCACTACCGAGGATGGTACATAGGCTTATAGTACTGACAATTCTGTCCCAGCATTTATCAATCAAAACTATATTTATATAAGTGGTATACCTATTCTGCACAGATGATATTCTCTGAAATAGAACATGCAGCCACTTTGAAACTGTATAGTCTATAATGTGCAGTAGTCTCTATAACCAAGTAAATTCCACTGAAGTTAATAGATAGGACTGCTGGTCTAATGTATCTGTTTTATGTAATGGTGTACTACTGTTAACTGTCAAAATGAGAAGGGGTAGGGGAAAAGAAGAAAATATAAAATACATTCTTATCACTTTCAGTCTAATTTAGAATGATATCTAACTTAAGATGCTAAACATGGTAATGCTGCATCTAATTAGAACCTTAGTGAGGTTGAGAGAAAGCTTTTTACTGCTTCAGTAAATACGCTTTAGCGGCGAT